ACACTGAGCTCCGTGAGGGCGGGAGGGTAACACCAACCCGCCCATTTGCAGGGGCGCCGCACGCACCACCACCCCCGCGGATTTCTGGGGGGAAAGGCAGCGAGGTGGTTTTCCCGACAGCCCCCGATGCTGCAGGGAGTCCCGCTGGAGTGGGGCCAAAAGTGTTGCGGGGATTGCAGCACAGCGAAGGGAGAGGGTGCCGCATCCCCTGCGGGGAGGATAGGGCGTGTCTCATGCGCTGTTAGGAGGGGCACTACGGTACCGGGGGAGGAAGAGGAGGGTGACACCCCGGGGGTCGGCGCACGTCGGTGTGCTGCCATCGCCCCGGCGCCAGCGCCCGGGGAGCGGCGCAGCTGCGCTTCAGCACCGCGGACAGCGGCACTTCAGCACCGCGGACAGCGGCAGCGCCGTGGCCATGAGCGCGGCGCTCTGCGGGGCGGGGGGCACTGCGTTCCACCTCCCCCCGTCCCCTAAAGCCCTTGTGACAATCTCTGCCTCATTCTTTCCCGCCACTGCCCTTCTGGGTGGTGTATCTGGCACGGTGAGGAGGTGTGCTGGGGAGGGGAGCAGCTCTTTAAGTGCAAAAGATAATGACAGGAGCTCAAGGGAACAGGGAAATCGTTCGCGCTGCAAAAAGCCCAGGATGAAGAAAAGCAGTGCCCAGCCTGTCCTGCTCTGGTGTCTTCACATGCCTGGGAATGGACAGCCTGCAGGGTTCGCTTTGCAGAGGGCACACACACCGGGGAGTGGTGGTATTAAAGGATTTGCCGTCCCCCATAAAAGGGAGGCTGCAGTCTACCTCTGTCCCTGCAGCTTTTCCTTTCCCTTGCTACAGTGAGGCTGGACAAGCTCTCTGAAGTTGCCAAGGTGAACACAGACGCCATGCGTGTGGCTCAGGAGGAGATCTCTGAGTACCGCCGTCAGCTCCAGTCCAAGACCACTGAGCTCGAAGCCCTCAAAGGGACACAGGAGTCACTGGAGAGGCAGAGGCAGGACTCAGAGGAACGCCATCATGCAGATGTCCTCTCCTATCAGGTAGAGTGGCGCAGTCGGCAGAGTCCCAAATCTGTCACTTGGTGCAGAGGGAGCATCCAGCTGTCAGGGAAGAGCAGTGCTGGGGCTGTGGCCTCAGGGATGCTGATGTCAGCAGCAAGTACATTTGACCTTTCCCCAGCTCCTGATGTTCAGACAGCCAGAGCCAAGGCTGCATCCAGGCTGCTGTGTCTGGCACCTGCAGTGGAATTGTCCCTTGTGTCTGCTGCCCATGACACTGATCACAAATGCCATTGAATAGTGACCAGGGTTCAGACCATGTCATGTCGCAGCACTGGGAACAGCAGCTCAGATTTCTGTACCCTGTGGTATCTATAGACTAAAACCTTGTCTCCAGGGAGATGTTCCAACCCCATCAGCCTCAGGCTGGGTAGGATGACTGCAGTGACCAGCAGACCAAGTAGTTTAGATACATTGCCCCTGGCTGCCACTGCCCGAGAGAAGCCAGCTGGCAGCACCACAGCTCTCCTTGGAGTGGTGCAAGGCTCGGGGGTTCCCTCAAGGACAAACTTGAAAGAGCCCCAGCATTTTCCCCCTTTGCTCCCTGCATGGCACCAGGTGACTCTGTCTGTTGCAGGAAACCATCCAGCAGCTTGACAATGAGCTGAGAAACACCAAGTGGGAGATGGCAGCTCAGCTCCGCGAATACCAGGATCTGCTCAACGTCAAAATGGCCCTGGACATTGAAATTGCTGCCTATAGGTATGGGGTTGGCAAAGGGGACGGGGGTGCATGTCTTGGCTAGTCCCCAGTGCTGGCATCTGTGAGAACATTTCTTGAAGGCCCTTGCTAACACCTTGAGTCCTTCTTAGTAAGACAGCGGTAAGTCCTCCAATACCAGCCCTGTGAAGGGATTGTGGAGGGAAGGGTGAGGAAGCCTTCATGGGGTGATGGCATGCAGATGGAGGGAGGGAGAGGTTGCTGCATGGTGTGGGTGCAGCTGCTGATGGCCCTGCTCTGGTCTTCTCCTGGCAGAAAGCTCTTGGAAGGGGAGGAGTATAGGATTGAGACCGGCTTTGGAATGGTCTCCTACCCTGAAGTGATCCCCAAGGCTCCCAGCATCGCCACCAACATCAAGGTAAAGAGCGAGGAGAAAATCAAGGTGGTGGAGAAATCTGAGAAGGAGACAGTGATTGTGGAGGAGCAGACAGAGGAAATCCAAGTGACTGAGGAGGTGACTGAGGAGGAGGAGGCTGAGAAGGAAGCTGAAGAGGAGAAAGCTGAAGAGGAGAAGGAAGAGGAGAAAGCTAAACCAGAGGGTGAAGAAGAAGCCAAGTCTCCTGCAAAAGATAAGGCCAAATCCCCAGAGAAACCTGAGTCCCCTACAAAGGAGGAAGCCAAGTCCCCAGCAGTCAAATCCCCTGAAAAGCCCTCAAGCCCCTCAAAGGAAGAAGCCAAGTCCCCAGCAATCAAATCCCCTGAAAAGCCCTCAAGCCCCTCAAAGGAAGAAGCCAAGTCCCCAGCAATCAAATCCCCTGAAAAGCCCTCAAGCCCCTCAAAGGAGGAGGCCAAGTCCCCAGCAGTCAAGTCCCCAGAAAAGCCTTCAAGCCCCTCAAAGGAGGAGGCCAAGAGCCCACCTGTCAAGTCCCCAGAGAAACCCACGACCCCAGCTGTCAAATCCCCAGAAAAACCCCCAGTGCCCTCAAAAGAGGAGGCCAAGAGCCCACCTGCCAAATCCCCAGAAAAACCTGCAACACCCTTAAAAGAGGAGGCAAAGACTCCGACTGTGAAGTCCCCAGAAAAGCCATCGAGCTCTACAAAGGAGGAGATCAAGCCTCCATCTGTTAAATCCCCAGAAAAGCCACCAAGCCCCTTGAAGGAGGAGGCGAAGAGCCCAGCTGTCAAGTCCCCAGAGAAACCTGCAACCCCCTCAAAAGAGGAGGCCAAGTCCCCGGCTGTCAAGTCTCCGGAAAAGCCTGCAACCCCTTCAAAGGAGGAAGCCAAGACCCCAGCAGTCAAGTCCCCAGAGAAACCCACACCCCCTTCAAAAGAGGAGGCCAAGACCCCAGCTGCCAAATCCCCAGAGAAACCCGTGTCTCCCTCAAAGGAGGAGGCCAAGACCCCGACTGTAAAGTCCCCAGAAAAAGCCAAATCTCCACAGAAGGAGGAAGCCAAGTCCCCACAGAAGGAAGTGGTCCCAGCCAAGGAGCCTGTCCCCTCCCCTCCAAAGGAGCCCAAGGCCCCTGCAAAGGAAGAGCAGCCAAAGGAGGAGAAGGCTTCCCCCAAGCCTGCAGCGGAGGGCAGGAAGGATGAGGCTCCCAAGAAGGATGCCCCGGCCAAGGCAGAGGAGAAGCCCAAAGAGAAGGCAGCTGCCGGGCCTCCCGCCCCACAGGTGAAGGAGAGCAAGGCTGCCTCCAAACCTGCAGAAGAAGGGAAAGCTGAGAAGGATGCTCAACCAAAGCCTCAGCAGGAGGCTGGCAAAGCAGCTGTGAAGGAGCCAGAGAAGCCTAAGGCTGAGGAAAAGGCAGAGGAACCAAAGAAAACGGTGGAGGAACCAAAGAAGGTGGAAGACCCCAAATCAAAACCCAAAGACGACTCCAAAGCCAGTAAAGAGCCCCCCAAAGCTGAGAAGCCCCCCAGCAAGGAGGGCAAAGCCCCAGAGCCGGCACCCGCTGCAGGAAAGAAATGAGCGGAGCTCCTCTGGGAGCTGGAGCTGCTCCGCTCCCCTCCGAAGGGTGAGACGGGGACGGTCCCCACCCCGGGTCCCCCCCAGCCAGGCCTTACCTTAGCAATATGTTTGTGAGAGACACAGCCCCTCGCTGCCCCACGCCAGCGGTATGTTCCGATCGCTTCAGTAGCAGAATGTGATCCATGCAGAGCGCCACATTTAACACTTGAGTTCTAACGAGGAAAACAGACCCCGGGGGAACCGACTGCCCTTCTCCAATAAGTGCATTTATTTATTGTATGTGCAATCGATGGACAAGTGCAACTCAGAGCTCTAGCTGCTTGGGAGGTGTGCCGTGGGCTGGCTGGCAGAGTCCTTCCCTCGCTGGGGTGATGAGTGGCCCTCCGGGTAGCGGCACCAGCTGTAGCTGGCTTCAGGGAAGAGGTTAGGCACTGCAGGAATGCCCACGGAAATACGACGTGCACTAGGAAACTCGAGCCCACTGTCAATTGCTTATGTGCAATAACCAAATAAAGTGCTTACAGAGACACACCAGCTCTCACTGTCATTGCTCGGCCCAGGGGAGGAGGTGAAGGGGTGCAGGGAAGGCTTGTGCCAGGGCTGCTGGGCACTGTCACACAGGGCTGGGACACACAGAGGGTGACACGGGGCTTTTCAAAGCATGGGGCAGTCCTCCACCTCCCTGCCTGCAGCAGGGAAAGCTCACAGGCGGGCATGAAGGGCTGCAGGCCCAGCTCAAGGGATGGAAACAGGGCCAGTCCTCACCACGCTCCACCAAGGCAATTTTTGAATTCCTTCTCTTTTTAAATGGCAGCTCCCCAAGGACTGCCAGTGCCTGGATTAAGCCAAGTGCTGCAGCACAGCCCTGCACTGCAGCACCACACCTGTAGCCCCTCCAGGGGAGGGGAAAAGGCTCCACCAGCCTTCCTTTCCCAGAGAGTCGCTTTGGCACCAAGCGCCCCCACTGTTGAAGCCCAGAGCCCCGGCTCTGACAGGAGCTGCAGTGGGGAGCTGTGCAGGATGGAGGGGGGCACAGCCCAGCCCGGAGCTCCAAGCTGCTGCTGTGCTCCGGGGTTTGTGCCGAGTCAGCTGGCAGCTGGGGCTGCAGTGCAGGAAGGACTATTTTTAGCCAGCTCAGTTCCTGTTACCGAGGACCTGCAGTGGGAGGGAGGAAAGAAGGCAGGCAGGGCCCAAACGGGGAGGGCAGGGCTTGGTTCCAACCCCCATGGGACACAGAAGCACGGAAGAGCTCAGAAGGGAAGGGATCCACCACCAGGATCAAGGTCTCCACAACGCAGCCATCTGCACACACACACACTTCTTCCAATTCAGCATTTAATCCCTTCAGTTACAAAACCTCAAATGAGACCCAAAATGTCATAAAAGAAACTGAAATGACAGGAAGGGAACATTGCAGACAGGATGAAGCTAGGTCCCAAAGCAATGCCCAGGCAGGGGAGCCCAGCAGGACTCAGCGGTGGCTGAAGAATCCCTGAGGGTAGTTGAACTTGAACGGCTTCAAGCGCATGGGGCCCCTAGAAGAGAAGAGGAGGGACAGGTTGGCCCACAGGGGTCTGCTCCCATCCCAGCAGGCCCGACCTGCTGGTAAGCTCAGCACACTCACAGAAAGGGACAGGTCCCGGGGTGCAGCTCGACTGTGCAGGGCTGACCCTCACAGGCCTTTCTGTCACCACGTGCCTGGACAGCAATGCCTGCCAGCAGGGTCCCTACCAGCATCTCAGCCCCCTCTGCTCACTGCCTGCAGGGACAGCACGGCCCCAGGCTCTCACCTGACCAGGCGCAGGCACATCTTCTCCTGGGGGAACTCCTTGGGCCCCTCCACAGTGGTGTCGTGGGGCTCCGTCTCCAGGTAGACGTCCAGCACCATGCAGAGGCGCTGCAGCTGGTTGGTGAGGAGCTGGTAGCCCGGTTTGGGTCCCCACAGCTCCTTGTAGCACACATTGACTTCGCTCTCCATAGCCTGGCAGATGCAGATGTGTTGCAAGTTTGGTTTTCTGCTCTTCCCAGCCACCAGTCTAACCCTTACCAAGGGGACAGGAGCACTGGGAGCTGCCCCGATCGCTTACCCGAATGTTGTCATCGTTGCTGCCGGTTCGCTCTCCTTTCCAGTTCAGGCAGAGGCTGAAGATGGGTGGCAGCGCGGAGTAACCAGGATTCAGGACCACAGCGACCTGGAGCTTGGCTGAGCGAGGCGAGGAAGAAACATCGATGACAGCCCACAGAGCCTCCCTCTTGTGGAGGACTCAGGCAGCTGCTATTTGCCATCGCCGGGGGAAGGAAACACACCGACCTGTTCCCCTCTCTATCAGGGCCATGTAATAGAGATGGGTGTCTTCAGCCAGCCCAGCCTCCACCACGTCTTTAGTGTAGGGCAGCTCCTGCAAGGGGAGATGACAGGGAGTGAGCAGCTGCAGCTGCAAGGCACAGCATGGGAGCTGGAGGGGATCCAGGCTCACACTCAGCACCTACCGCGTAATCCTCGAAGGGGATGGCAGCCCACCTCACCAGGCGGGAGACGATCTTGGTAGGGAAGAGATGCTGGCACTCGCTGGACACCGGCACCACGCCATGCTCTGGAAGCAAGCACGAGGCTGAGCGGGGCAGGCTGGGGATGAGCTCTCTGCCTGCCCCACGGGCGACAGCAGTACTGGGACCTGGGGACATTCTTTATCCTTCTGACAACTTCACCAGGCACCCAGAAAGCAGCAGCAGCCTCAAATGCAGTTCTGCTGGCGTTCAGGACCTCACAGCACGTGCCTGGTCTGCTCCAGGGGTGCTTGGGCACGCTGTTTTCCTATCACCACAGACTGAATAAACTCCCAGAGCCAGGATGGCTGGCTCCAAAGGGATGCTGGGCATCAAGAGGGGCACAGCCACCTTCTCCCACCACGAACATGGCAACCTCAGAGCCCTGACACCGCAGAGCAGAGGGACAGTGGCAGTGCAGACCCATAAAAGCCCTTCAAAGTTACACAGGTTAGGCAGCATTCCTGTGCAAGAAGATCCAGCCACTGCACAGCCTCCGCAGGCACTCACCAAGAGAAGCAAACTGCTTGTGGAGAGCCAGGCGGGATTGCAGCCTCGTCCTCAGCAGCTTCATGGTCATCTCCATGTGGCTCGCGCTCAGCGAGTTGTCTGCAGTGACAGTGTGCTGTGGGAGGAGAGAGCATCAGCACCCTGCCAGGGAGGGGACACCAGTGTCCCCAAAGCCTCCCCGCAGCCCTGCCAGCTCAGCCCGATGTCCTGGCAAGGAGGGGA